GGCGTTGCAAAATGCCAATGTGGAGGAGGATTTGATATCGGATGTGGCCTCTCTTTCGTTTCCTGGTTTTGGTTCCAGATGGGAAAAACTGTCACCTTTGACGAACACGTGCACAATGCCATATGTTCATTAACTAAGTCCAACAGTTTCAAAACTGGATTATTAATCGGTCAAGTAAGTAATAAGAAGAAATCTTCGACATACATAGCCTATTTCGCTTCATTACTTATGCAATGAGAACATCAAAACATACGCTTATAACAAGTTATCTCTGTTCGATCTTTAGTATAGAAGTACAAAAGAATATTTATTCCTATCACAGTTAAAGATCAAATTTTAACACAACAAATGCCTCTTGAATATTTTATTAGTTAGATATGATCAGCTGAAAGTTGAAGTGTTATTATTTTCCTGGTAGGTTTTTATATATCACGTTACTAAGTGAGTAATTTCAGTTGTGCAATGTTAAAACATACGAAAGCTAAATATAATAAGATTACAAATTTTCATTCCTTTTTGTTTATACCTTTTTTTAGTAGTTATAAATTTGCATACGTTTTTGTATTTGCATTTTGACAATAATGCAGTTCTCATTCTGTGGTCCACGGAACACGGATTCTCCATGAAGCCACTTCAAGTATTCTGCAAAAAAATCAAATATACAATTAAAAATTATTGCAAAAGAAAAATCGATACAATGTAAAATAATTTTTGTATGGGAATGTAATCAGCAAATGTTAATGACATCATATATTAGACTGAATGCACTCTTGATTTTGTAAAGGTTTGCCACCCCTGCTTTAAAGCCAATTTATTCTAACTGTTCCACGGAAAAAAATGTCAAAGTTTAGTGTTCCCCAACTTCAAAAAGATTGAGAACCATGGGACTATAAGACCGTCATTTAATATTGAACCTATACCGAGGAGACACATAGATTAAAAGGAAAACTCGTCTTTTATAACTTATGTATTTTATTGTGGAATGCATTTAGGAGCAAGTCCCTCGTTGCTGTTACTAGGATGAGTTACAAAAGGGATGGATGTCTATAAGTGATACGGTATTTTTCATTACAAATTAAATTAAAACTTTTTTTTATGACATAAGAAATACAAAAAATGGAAACTTACATTCACTATAGAAATTTGTACATATAAAGATATATTCTTTATCACACATTTTACAAAAAACCATGTATAATGATGAAATTTTAAATTTAGATCCACACTGGACAGAGACAGTCAGAAATTTGCTTTATATTTTTGTAGTATAATTGTGATCTTGCAAAAAGTTTAATGATAAAAAGTTCTGGTTATTTATCAGTACTAATACTTAAAGCTTAATATTATCAAAAACTTTAATTGTAGGGTGAAATGATGGTATTATGTTTGTTCTAATAAACAGTGCAGTTGAGAAAAGTTGTAAAGAGCATGCTGTTTATTAGAATAAATACAGTGTAAGGAAAGATTAAGGATAATAGTACATAAGTGCATAAAGATTATTGTCATTTTAATTATAATAATTATATATACATGTTATTAGCTGGCAAGTTTCATCATTATTTTTAAATGGCAAAAATTTGAAAAAATTCACATGCCTTTTATTCAAATAAGAATGGGCTCAGTTTAATCTGAGAAAATTGAGAATAAACAAATTAATTGTTGATACTGTATATAAGACAATAAAAAATATTAGCAAGATTTTTTGTGTGTAGAGTTATAGATTATTGCATGGGAATATGTCATAGATGGGCCAAAACAGCAACTCTACCAAGAAACTCAAAGAAAGCATATTTATACTGTAAATTATTGAAAATAATTGTTATTTTTTCAGTAATTATATGCACCAGTTCTTAACTTTTGTAAATTAGAACCGTTTCACATCTACATTTGTAATAATGCCTGTTTTCATTTTAAAAAATTAAATAGTATGTAAGGTTAGAAAAAGAGAATAAACACCAAATTTTGCATTCAATTAGAAAAGAACAATAAAAATGTATCAGGTTGTAAAGGTGAAATTTAGGCATTTTTGATTTTTTTCTAGAAACAACTGGAAAAAATGTTCTAGCATATTGAATATGGGTATTTAAACAGAATAACCAGGGACATTTCATCACGTATTTTGTTGGAAATAGATGCATTAGTGATGTCTGACAATACGAAACTTTTGAAATAACACATTTGCATTCTGTTACTCTATCACTTCAAAAGTTGCCATAATGCAACAAAGGTTTGTGATCAAATCTACAAAACATTTGGTGAGGACACAGTCAACGTGCAGACCTTCTACAATTGGTTCAAGAAATTCAAGGATGGTGATTTCTCACTTCAAGATGAATCCCATCCAAGTAACAATTCCACTATTGATAATGATGATAATCTCCTGCAATTAATAGACAATAATCCTTGGTTGATCACCAGAGAATTAACACAACTTCAGTGTTTCAAGATAAAAGAATTTCATCCAAAACTTAGTCTGATACTACCACAGCAATGCACTAGCACATATAGCAAAGCTAACCTAAGAGAAGTTGGCAAATCTGGGCCAGGAAATTCTGCTTCATCCATCTTACAGCCCAGACCTGGTGTCAACTGACTATCAAGCTTTCAGAAAGCAAATTTATCAAAATCAAGATGTTATGAGTGGCATCAATAATTCAAAACCGGATGAATCATTATAAGACTGTTAGTGATATATTTGACATGACATGCGCATTATGAATTTTTCTGAACAGTAAACAATTAATATGTTTATATTATAGCAGTTATACAAACTAGTTTTCTGAAATGACAAAACTAATTGGATATTCTTTCATAAAAACACCCATTACAATTATCACTTATCTAGTGAAACACAAAATTGCTATTCTTCCAATATAGATCCTAATACAGTAGAGCGTCGTTTATCCGAAAGTCAGTTATCCTAAACGTCGGTTATTTGAAAGAATTCCAGTCGGCAAATTTAAATTTTTGCTAGTGCTGTGGCACTGCAATCTTTGCCTATATCTTGGGCTACTCCAATATTTTTTTTTTGTTGATGTGTGTGTTTTAGCTGGCAGCACTGACACATATGTGTGGTATTTTCCTGAGGACTGTGTGTCATGCTGAATCGAACATTTTTGATACTAGATTAACTTCTAAGTATAATTTTTTTTTGTTTTTATGTTTCAATATATTTATTTTGTTTGTAAAAAATAAAGAAATAACTTTTAACAATACAATAGACACGATTATTATTTTTAAAAGTTACATTAGGCTTAATATCAATGAAAATTCAACGCAAAGCAACATGCAACAGAGAAAAATTTCAATATGGGATAGGTTAATATATTTTTTCATACATAATCGGTTATCCGAAAAATAAGTTATCCGAACAACTCCAGTCCCCAATTGATTTGGATAAACGATGCTCTACTGTAACCTTTTCCTTTATCTAAAGTTTAAAAGAAAAAAAAAACAGAATTTAAAAGTAAAATGGTTTGAGTCAAAAAACTTATATGAATAAAAGAAAATTTTTCAAAAAGTTTGTCCTGAATTTCTTTTAGGACAAACTTATTTTGAAACATTTCCTGAATTGGCAAAAACATTGGAGAAATATATTTGTTTAGGGCAATTATTTTGAAAAATACTTCTTTCTTAATTTTAACAAGTGTCCTCTAAAAGCTAAGTGGATAAAACTCCCAAACACTGGTAGTTAGTTAATCGTGGGTTTGTGCACAGCCAACGGACTGGCCATGTGGAGTTTCTACGTTTTCTTCACTTTAATAACACCTAAATAGAGATTGGCTTCCCATAAAAGTCTTTCTGGGTGCATTTCCTCGGCAGATCAATCATTACGTGTTGCTTTGCTGTGAGCAAATAAACCAAACTAATTTTAATGAGTGATTATTTATTGTGATAGGCTGAAATTTGTTTGTCACAGTGTTCTCAGTTCTTTTAGCAGTTCTTGCCCCTGTACATCATGCTTTTCCTTTAACAATAGTCATGTCATTTATCTATCTAACCCCATTCGGGGAAAAAGTTTGAGTTGAAGTAACATAACTTCCATTCCAGGAAGTTATGTTACTTCAGTCAGGAAGCCAAAATTAACTATATATGAACTTCCATTCCAAACTGGAAGTTCATATATGACTTCAGCTTTCCACATCTGGTCTTGACTTTCATCTATCTAACTCTTTCTTGAGATTAAGAAAGGATAAACAGACAGGTGGGATGACAGATGGAATTTATAGGTCTACAATTTTTTCAAGTTGCAACCCAATAATTTTTCTATAAATGCAATATTTACAAGAACATACTTCCCAATAGTTTATACAATCTATTGCCAAAATTTAAACACTATTATCACATAAAAAAATTCTTCTAGCATTTTTACCAGATTTTTTTATTTAAATAAGTTTTATATGAAGTCTTTTCGATGTCAAAGTTAGGAACTTCAATCACAACCATCACATCTTGTCGAACACAGACCACTTTTCAAATATTAATAGTAGGCCAATATTAATTAGTAGTTGTTGAGCATCCACTCTCCCATGAGGACAACTACTACTTTTGGTCAAATTACTTCAGCCCCCTATCGCAACAGTCTCCTTTCTATCAGACAAGTGGTAATTTGGCATTTGAATAGGAAAATTACATAATACTGTGCATGTTTACTGGTGAGCACAAAATATGATTTAAGTGGTTTTTGAGGATGCCGAGTTTTAATATTTCGTCTGGTTTTCCAAAATTTGATTTGTTCACAGATTACCATTTGATATTTGGCTGTGAATGGTACAATTTCTTAAAGTTAACATTAGAAAATATTATATCTGAAAAATTTAAGATATATTTTCAATTTATGTCTACTTGACCATTGAATTTGTGTCATTTCATACCATCCAAGTATCATGATAAATGTGATAATGGTAGGCTGAAATAACCAAACTCTTGTGAGAATCTGGAAATTCAGGAGAGGGTCATTTTGAAATTAACAAAGTTGAGAAAAAGAATTATAAAATTAAGAGAAAATAATATTTTTAAACTTTAACAAATTTTACAAAAAACGGATGAAACTTTCGATTTTGAAAGGAAGTTGATTTCCTTTCCCAGGCCGACTCAAGATGAGTTGCATGAGTTTTGCACACGTTACTGGAGAGCAAATAAAAAGGATGTTTTCCTGCCATTCGGGGCAGTCTATCGAAAAGAGGTTGCTACACTAAAAGAGTTTGCCACAAAAATAGAGCTCGCCATAAAATAAAGGCAGTCGTCATACAAAGTGTATGTCATACAAGTCTGTTATACGAATCAGTTAAATGAAAATTATAAATATATAGCAATAAACGAAGTATACGACAAGATTGTTAAAAGAGAAGTTATTTAAAGGACTTTCCAAAGAAACTGTTGGAAGAAGAATACCCAGAGTTGAAGAAGACCCTCATTCAGAGAAACATTCGAAAGACCCGATGAAGGTAATATGATCAGAGATAGATTGATGTGAACTCTCTCTCATGTGTCAGGTTTAGAATAAGATTAGGCTAAGTAGTAGGTTAGGTTTAGGTTTATTCTTTTGTATACTTTTATATTTTGATTTATTACATGTTTTGTTTATCATTATAAAAATGGTTTGGTTAATATTGGTTATTTATACTCGTTTGTAGTTAAATTTCCTTTGCTCCTCTTACTCACAAGTTAGGGATAATGCATGTTAATCCGAGTGTAAAATAACTGATTAACTGGTGTCATCATCCTGACTTGGATCTGAATCTCAGAATTTGGATCCCTTTTTAACGCCCTTAAGGCTATCCTTTGACTTGAGACCGGATCTCTCGATCCGTGAACTCCTGAGAACAGATTTCACTTAATCTGTACTGAGTAAGTGGTACAGTTTCTATGGAGTGTACTCCTGGCTACTCACACTTTATATGGTTTTAGTTTTAATGTTCATTATATTATAGTATTTGATTTATATAATTACAAATGTCATCTTATGTATGGGTTTATCACATCATGTGACCAATCTAACACATTTTAAAAATTCTTTATTCTTATACTGTACACAATTTAAAGAATTTTTGATTGTTAGATTGGCCACTCAGTGTGATAAACCCATACATAAAATAATCTTTGTAGTTACATAAATTAAATAATATAATATAATAGAAGGGTTAGAAGTAAGAAATAATCTAATAATCTTAATCTTTGCTATTGTTATTTCTTGCCCAAGCAATGCTGGCTCATCTGCTAGTTTTATACTATAGAACTAGAAACCCAACTGTGGGAGATAAGAAACTTCAGAATAATTATTCTTAAACAGTGATAATGCAGTATATACAATGTAACTAAAGCCTTAAAATATTACTAAATATAAGACTAAAGACCAGATTAATTTTAGGCTATATTCATGCTCATTTATTAATTAATCAATGAAATTTGGCTTAACAATAGTACAGTCGTGTGCAAAAGTTTAAGACCAGCAGCTGAGTTTTTGTATTTTAAAGCATAGCATCATTTACACAGAATATTGCATCATTTTGTGTGTTGAATGCATCAGACACTTTTGACTGACATAAATAACCACCCCATTCATTCATCGCCAGTTGTTTTGTGGATTTAACCATAGAGGTGCTGTTTTTTAATCATTGTAATGGGTAAAAAGTCATCACTTACTGTTGCAAAAAAGGGCAGAAATAGTGGCCCTGCATAAAGTCGGCTTTTCTGAACATGAAATAGCTAAAAGGGTACATGTTAGCAAGACTGCTGTTCATCAAGCTGTCAGTAAATTTAACAATTCAGGAAAATGCACAGACCTGAAGAGAAGCGGTCGCCCAAGAAAAACGAATGCTCGTGATGATCATGTGATCCGAAGGATGGTAGTGAAATCTCCAACAACCTTAGCAAGAAGATTAAACATACACTGGCTGCAAAGGGCACCAACATCAGTTTGAGTACTATTTTAAGACATTTGATCAAAGATTTCGCTTTATTATCCTACAAACCAGCTAGGAAACCTTGGCTTACCCCAAATATGAAAAAGAAATGACTGACTTTCACCCAGAAACGTAAGAACTGGACAGTATAACAGTGGAGTGCAGTGTTATTTTCTGAAGAGTCAAGTATCTAGCAATTTTCTGCTTGTGCTAGAAGTGTTCGCCGCCCAATGGGAAGGAGATATGAGAAAAGATATACGAGTCCAACCGTGAAACATCCTCCAAGCCAGATGATATGGGGTGCAATGTCTGCATCTGGTACTGCTGCTCTGTATTTCCTGTTGCCTAAAACCACTATGAATGGAAGTCAGTATCTTAATTTGTTACGTGATAAGTTGAAACTTCACATGCATGTTCATCAATGTTCCATTTTTATGCATGATGGGGCTCCGTGTCACAAGTCAAAAACTGTTACGGACTATCTGACGGCAGAGCAAATTCAGGCGCTTGACTGGCCAGGTAACAGCCCAGATTTGAACTCAATTGAGAATATGTGGTATACTTTAAAAAATAAAGTGGCAGAAAAGCAACCATCAAGTGTTACGGAACTTGTTAAAGTCATAAAGAATATCTGTGTACAGAGATTTCTCAAGCCTACTGTCATTCTCTGATCTATAATATGCCTAACAGGATTGCAGCAGAGATTAAAAACAAAGGAGGTGCTAAAAAAATACTGAGTTTAATTTCAATTCTTCAATAAAAATACTTGTAAGTCACATTTGTTGTTCTTTTATGGGTGGTCTTAAACTTTTGCATGTGACTGTAGTAGTAATAATAATAATAATAATAATAAATAACAGTATTCAGAACTTGCCCAAGAAATAAAACACTTGTAGAGAATAGATAAGGTATTTATCCATTCTCTCTTCCAACTCTTAAATTTAAACTTAATTTTTGTTTATCTTAGTAGTATATTCTGACTTTGAAGTTATTAAACAATAAATTTTAAACAGATGTTCCTTTAATGAATATAAAGCAGATTTGTATTCTAGAATTTAAAAAATTAAACAGAAATCTAAATGGTAATGCCATATTTCATTTTGATTTTGTTAGAAATATGGTAGAAAATAATTCTGTTGTGCATAAACAAGAGAAACATTGCAAAAATGAGCTAGAGCTATTGCTTTAAATGTATATAATTATTTTAATCATTGAAATTTTTTATTTTTTTTAAATGCTGTAATGAGTTAACAAATAATAAACATAACAGTAAGTATCTAAATAGTTTTCTGAAATGATGACATTGTATACAGGAAAGGAATTTACTAGAAATGTATTAGCTTTTAAAATAAAACTCCAATGAGAGATATCTAATAATATAATAATAATTAAAACATGGATTGACACTCAGAAAATGAATGAGATTGTTATGCATGTGTGTATCTTTAGTTCACAATAAACATCACAATGCTAATATCTACAGCATACAAAGGATTTTTCACACTTTCTAAAATTTTCTTAGTGAATTCAAGTGAAGAAAAAGTGTTTGATGAGTTTATAATTGCAATTTAAAATCATCATATAATTCATTCCATTTCATAACCTGCAACTGCTTTTCAATTGCCTTTTGAATACACACAACCTGTGCTGAGCTGTAATTTCAATCATTGAAAACGTTATCAGAAATATAGAATTCAGAATAATAATAATTATAATGATTATAATCAGTATTTTTAACCATCAAGGATTTAGAAAGATATTTTCAATTTACATACTATCCTCAATAAAGGTCATTCTGTAGATCATATTGATTAAAGCTATAATCTTAAATCTTCAATCCAATTTGTTTATTATTATAATTTATTAAATGATTTACACAGTTATTTGTTAAATATTAGAAGAACAAAACAAGTTATTGCTTTTTATATGTTTCTGAAATATATTTTGGTTTGATTTTCTTGAAAATATTTAAATTGTCTGTGAAAAAGTACCATTCAATATAGAGTTTGTAAATATTTTAATCATCTAATTTTTTTTAAGACATCTGAGATTTGATTTCATGATTTAACTGTTTATTTAGGAACATTATTTTATATTTCTAATAATTAAGAAATATTTTTGCTATGAAAAGTACAATCAAATTTAAATTATATTTATCAAATATTCTTAAGTTTAATGTTAAAGATGAAGACTATACTTAAAAATATGTTTTATTTAGGTTTAGCCACTTATAAAATATTTCCGAAAACTATAGATTTAAATTTAATTAAAGTAATTAAATTTTATTATGAAATTATTTTAAATGCATATTTTTTTGTATTAAAGAGCACTCTTCAAAAGGATATTGTTGTACACATATGCACAACCCCTTCACAAGATGAAGTGGCTGTTAAAGATTCTGACAAAGAAAAGGATTCGAAGAAAGGAAAACAGGTGAAAAAAAAACCAGAAATACAAGATGAATTGAATGAGAATTGGATTTGTCAACATGCTAAACAGGTGATCAACTGTCTTTAATATTTTAAAAATTTATTTGAAGTTTTATATAAATATCTATGTATGAAATATCACTTTATAAATAATTTGTATAAATGAATGTATAATTTACATTCATTTATACAAATTATTTATAAAGTGATTAAATTAATTATATTTTTTGAATTTATTATTTAATGAAATTTTAGGTTACAAGAATGTTGCCAGGTGGACTAGATATATTAGGAATTTTTGTTATTGCAGGACAAGATGAATTAAACAAATTACAACATAATTTAAGACAAGTAAGTTTGTGAATTTTTATTTTATTTTTATATAATTTCTATTTTCAAACTTTTTATATTTAAAGTAAATACAGTTTTAAAAATTACCTTTAAAAATAAAATGGAATCATTTTAGCTTTCATTAATAATTAAATTCAATAAATCAAAACAAAAAAATCTTAAATTCCAGCACAACTACTTATATTCATTAATATTTTCAATCTTATTCAAAAGTCATCATCAGCCTAAACTGCTTTCAATTGTAAGAACTTTTGAACAAAGTTTTCATGAAATATACTATACAAATTCAATATAGAATTTGTATAATATATGCTGTCTAGCCTGATGATGGCATTTGAATAAGGTTGAAAAAATTAGCAAATAAAAATATGGTAAACAATACAGTTATTGTTTACCATAACTGTATTCTAGAAGTAAGTCTGTGGAAGTAGTATTGTTTAATACAGTTATTGTTCATTTTGAATTTAAATCTCTTTAATAAGAGTTCTATGAAAGCTTTCCTGGAAATATTACATGACAATATTAATACAAGTTACAGCTGCCAGTAGATAGCAAAATATCCTGCATGTTTTTCTTTTGTTGTATTTGGCCAATAAACATACAATTTTGCATCTTCATAAAACAAGGCTCACTTTGATGATTGGCATTTGTAATATCTAAATGGCAGTAGAAAGACTATAAAAATTGAATATTCAGTAAGTTTAATATTTCTCAATTTAATCTTTGTTATGTCATAGAATTTTTTAAATAAAAATTTTTTTAAATGGCCAACAACTATATCATATACCCTAGTTGTGCTGGAATTTAAGATTTTTTGTTTTGACAGAGTTAATTTTATCCAGTTTGAGATTATTTGATCATACGTTTAATTTTTCAAGGATCATTAGTCACAAAAGTGAATTACATTGAGATTAAATTATTGAAAATTATATAAAAACAGAATTTCTAAATTTAAAAAATTTTTTGAATTTATAATTATGAAAAGTGAGTTCTTTTCTAAATTATAGTATTAAAACAATAAATATCATTATTTTAGGAATTAGATTAGTACCATTATGTGATACTAATCTTATTCCTAAAATCTAAAGATTGCATATAAATTAAAAAAAACTGGGATGTTTAGCTTGATAGGTATGTTGAAAAGTATATATTTTTTTTTAAACAAGAATGAGTGAGTTAAATAAATCAATGGAAGTCCTTGACGTATAATGGAGTTTTGCTCCAGGACCTAGTGTAAAACACTGACTCTACAGGTGTAGATAAAGCACCAAAAATGAAGACAGAAATTTAAAGCAGCAACATTTTTTATTTTACCATAACTGAAAATGTGGTTAAAAAGAGAGTTCAGGAAAGTTTAACTTTTCATTATCTCATAACATTTCTCTTTATAACAGTCAACAAATAGACAAAAAGATATAGTTTGCAATTAGATCATATGCAATTATATCAGTTTCAAGGTGCAGTGAGAAATTTAAAATGGTAGAGGTTGCCTGACAACAATTTAGAAACATTTGCAGATGAGGTAAGGAAGTATTATTGGTTATACAATAAATCAGATCCAAATTATATGGATTAAAATCCTCATAAGTTAAAAAAATCAGTCTGGTTGGCTATTGCAGAAAAATTTTCATTGAAAAGGCATACATGATAAATTATTTTTGATTCAATTGGTTTGAATAATAATCTTATTATTTTAAATATTAAGAGAGATATGATTATTATATTTATTAATACTATAAAGAGTGAACTGGAAAAAAAGGAAAGTACAAAAAGAAGATTTCAAAAAGATTTCATGTGTATTTTTGTTCTTGAGAAACAAAACCAAATGTCTAGCTTATATTCGTTTTTTACAATCTTGTCCTTGACTTCCAACTCCATTAACTGGTGATGTGCTGTTTTGTCTTTTAGTTTAGTATTATACATTAGATAAATGAGAAAAATATCTACAAAAAATTTGAGGAACTTGCCTCAGATATGGAAGGACAATAAAAAATTCAAATGATTGAGACTGATTAATGTGTATAAAAATGACATTTTAGTTTTCAGTCATTTTGAACAATGTGATTAAACAAAGACTACTGTAAGTAAATATAAACAATTGCATACATGTTGTTCATATTTTATTTTAATTACTTTATGGCTAACTAGTGTGCCTTGATTTCTGTATGTGAAAACAGAAATACAAAACAGACTACTAAAAAACTACAACAGAATACAAAAAACTGAAACTAGATGAAATGTGAAATAACTATTTATTTCTTTTATGAAAAATTTAAATAATGGAATTGGTGTGTTTTATTAGTTAAAAGGTTATATTTCAAAAAAGTAAAAAGTTAAAAAACTGTAAAAAATTACCATAAGAAAATATTCTTCTCAGTCTTTACCAGTTTTTGAGAATACTTAATTAAAAAACTAAAGACTACAACTTTCTTCTAAAAAGGAACAAGCTTTATTTAATATCTCCAAATGCATTTCACCCTGGCTATAACAGGACCTCTTCAGTGGATAAAGGATCACAAATACTGTTCACTGAAGAGGTCCTGTTATAGCCAGGGTGAAATGCATTTGGAGATATTAAAAGTCAAAGAACAATGGTCAAATATTAACTGAAGTGCCTGCTCTAAATGATAACTTCTGTGTCCTTCTCTAGTATTGAACTACTAAACATGATCTATTAAAAAACATTTAGAGACAGCATCAAAACTAACTGTATATATAATAGAATGCAAAATGAAGTCATTTTTATTTTTCATAAAAAATCTTGAGAAAGTTAGTAGAAAGTATTAATCAATGTAAAGCTTTCTCACTAGTTGACAAAACAGTAGACATTTCTGGTTTAAATCAACTTATACCTATATGTTATACAGTAAATAAAAATGATTAAAGATGATTTTATAGATTTTGTATTTGTGACAAATCCAGTCACAAGTGCAATCAAATTTTTATAGGAGAATGGCCATTGATACATCTTATTTATATGGTCAAGGATTTGAGAGAGTGGTGGCACTTTACATTCATTGTGCCTGTCATAGCCTTAATGTTGCTATAACTTTAGCATTTTAACTTTTTAATCATCAGAAATTGCTTGGAAACCATTGAATCTGTATATAACTTCCTTTGATTTTTCCAAACAATAGTCTATTCTGCAAGAAACCGTAAATGTAATTTCACTAAAAACAAATCACTCAAAACTGAAAAAATACTTGGTACTTGATCTTTTTTAATCCACTGTATTGTATAACATATCAAACTTCCTGATAAACATACAGTGAAAGCCTTTACATATTGTTTTTTTATCCAGTTTTTATTGGTTTTATGTTTTTACTACATCTGTTAGTCAAATTTATACATTTTAACCAAATTATTTTTATTTTAACAGTTTTAGTTGTATTATCCCATGGTTTTAATAATTAGTTATTCCAATTGTCACTATAATTATTTTTAGTTTTACCGATATACATAATAAAATAAGGACTGAAGAGGGGCATAGAGCCTGAAATGCATATTCATTGTAAATTATAGAAAATAAATTACTTTTTCCGTCAAAAGGAATGTTCTGTATGATTTGTTTTCAATAGCAACTTTATGCTAAGTTCCAAAGAACATACAATGAAAAATTACTGTTAAATTAGATAGATTGTCATCAGTTTGTGTCAATTTAGTGTGAGTTTCAAGAAGGTGTGGAAAAAGCCTTAGAAAAAAATTATATTATGAAAGAGAAAAAATAGCAGCTGAAACTAATAAATACTATTAAAAATTGCCAATTCCAAATTTGCTGCCAAATCCTTTTGGAAATTATATCATGTAATCTTAACATCTTAACCAGCACTGAAGCAGAGTTTTCAGGAGAATACTACTGAGTGATAGTGTTTATACCATTTTTAAATGAACTTAACAGTCATATTGAATGTAGATTCATAAAGTGAGAAGAAATTGTTAGCAATTTCAACAGTCTGTTATCTCAAAGACATATTAATTTTAATGAAGACAATTATTGTACCTTATACAAAAGTTATGAGTCAGTCCTTGAATGCGTTGGTGAGGATGAATTCATAGCAGAAGTGATGATGTAGCAGACTCTTGAAAACCGAAGAAACTCTTGAAAATCCAAACCATTTTTCCCTGTTACTACAGCAACAGCATAAACATTGTCCAATCTATGGCAACTTAGAACATATCTCACAAATTTCATGTTAGAAGAATGACTGAAATCTTGTTTTGTTCAATATTCAATGAGATTTAATATCTTTAGTAAGGAGATTGTGGATGAGTTTGCCAATTCAAACAGCAAAAGTTTACTATATTAATAAAACAGTATATTGTTTACAACATATTTATTCTATACCATTTAGTTTCTTCTTAGTCTGAGACATGAGTGCTTGGTATACATATTATTTTAAAAAAACATAACATATACTAAAAATGTCTTCACTTTTTGCCATGCCCAATCACCAGGAACAACAGTCTTCCACAACAGAGATGACCTTTCTTTAGAGGCTATGCTTCTGCAAAAAAATGCAAAACAGTCTAAAAGTTTACAGATGACAATCCCAGCACAATTAAAAATATAATATTTCATTTGTAAAAAAGGGCTGACAAATTTATAATTTAAAAAAGTATTTCTGATGATTGGACATGGCAAAAAGTGAAGACATTTTTTGTCTCTGTTACATTTTTTCTAAATTGTATATTCATCAGCCCTTTTTTTATAAATACATACTATTTATTTAAAATTTATTTAGTTATTTCAGTTATTTTATAAATTTTTGTTATTGCATTTCAGATTCTATTTGCTATATTTAAAGTATTAAGTAAAGACCAGAAATTATCATTGTGTCATGAGAACACAGAGAAGATTCTTCTACAGATTGCTACATTTGCACAAAAGTATCCTGTTTTAAATTAGTATTTAAAATATTATAAAATAGTATATTCATTTATTCTCCTTAATTCTTTTAGATTTGTATGTCGAACATTTGATGTTAGTGACTATAAGGTAAATATCTTATGTTTTGTTTATGTACATTACACTATTATTTAAAGGAGGTATTTAAAAATAATTTTTAAAAGTTGATTATGTAATAAATTTAATTATTCTTTTCAATACAATATGACAATTTTTAAATTTTGAGGCATAAATTTTGTCAATTAATGATTTTGTATAATCATTTCCTACTAATAGTACAATGAACATGTTTGTGATAGTATAATTAATGACTACCTGTGGAATTTTTTGAGTAGCAATGCATTATTATTGGTTCTTTATTATTATTGTCAAGAATTGTAATTTAGAAAAATTCAAGAATAGGAATTTCGATATTACTCTTAGCTACAAAATCTGAGAGTCAAATTACCTTGCTTATTCCAAAATTAAGGATCAAATCTTAAAATTTTTAAGTCAAGGTAATTTTTTTTTAATGTTGAAAAAATCATTCTTAAACTTTCTTACTGTATTGATTTGATTGATTGATGATGCTTTGTATATCAATGACTATTCAAATTAAAAAATATGCTTTGCTCATCATGGCAAACTTTTTGGAGAACATAAAGTATGAAAAAACAAAATTCACTAAAAACCAAAATTATATACAGGTAGGCCTCTACAATGCGGTAGATACATTTTTTGAAAATACCGCGTTGTGAGAAATCGCGTTACAGGAGACACCAACTCAATACAAAGACTGGGATTCGGTTCTAAAAAGAGAAAAACTTGGCGTTTGAATGGCGTTTTTTGAATTTTTCAAACCAGCCATTGGTAGCCACAAATTTAACACTGGTTTCATCAGCTGACCAGTGGCGTAGCATAGTGGGGGCGCAAAATTTCTCAATAAACAATAATAATATCTTGTAAAAATTTGAATCATTTCATTTCATATTTTTGTCGCACCTACGATTCGGACCGATTGAAATGAGCACGGAATTGTTCATTACTTATTCTGTGATGAAACTGAATTTTAGTCTTTTAAATTGAGATACCTAAATAAGGGGGCAGCGAAATTTTCCTCCGCACCGGGCGACTGACACCCACGCTACGCCACTGCAGCTAACGACTGTCCCATTTGTTTTAAATAATCAAATATTTTTAAGGCTTTGTGTTTAAGTGCAGTTTTATTTAAAGGCAACTGTTTCTTGTTCATATCTTCTACCCATAATATTAGCGCTTTTTCCATTTTTTACATTATAGGTGCTCTCGGACTAGCAACATTTTTCGCAAGAATAGATGATCTGGATGCGACCAAATTTCTAATCTTTTCTCCCGATTGCTTAATCGACCGAATAGTTGACTCATTTAAATTAAAATGCCTACTAATATTAGCTATCCGCTCTTGATTTTTAATTCGATCCAAAATTTCTATCTTTGAAGAGTTGTAAATTTCCTTTTTAATGATGGTCCTTACTTTTCATTCGGCATCGTTATGGCTAAAATTTTTTCAATCTGTTTTGTGGACTGTAAAAATCACAAAAAATAACTTTTCTTCACTATGTTGTTAAAAATATACACCCAATAGAAGTGTATACTGTATTTTGGACCATTTTTGCTGTCCCTACTTATTGAAACAGTATAAATGATGGAAAATTTAGTGATATATTTGAGTGTTTACGGTAACTGATGCACATCTGGCTAGAAACTGGTCTTCCCCTGAAACTTTCAAGGGAATAAATAACATGCCAACAGCGACAAACAGCTGTTTTCGAAGACATTTAGTTCTGTATGCCAAATTGCGGTTCGTATCACGTGATCCGTTGCGATTTTTCTGTTACGTGAAAGATAATTCGTTTCTAAATACCGTAAACCGCATTGTAAAAGTACCGCGTTGTAAGAAAATTACTGCATTTTCCCAACTGTGTTGGAGCGAAAACACGTTGTAAAGGTACCGCGTTGTAGGAGGCCTACCTGTATTGTGAATCTGATTTTTATTTTTCAATTTATAGAATCTCTTTTATATTTCAAATATTTTTATTGTTTTTTTATACAAAAAAGAAACAAGTAAAAGAAATAGGAATATAAAATCATAAACAAGAATATCATTCATTCTGAAGAACATTAATGTATACAAGGTATATTCTTTTAAACTATACCTTTGACTACATTTAATTCAGTTTTAGTGCCAAATGGTATTTAGTTGTCATATTGGTATTAAATGTTCTTGTGAATTAGCTAGATCACTGGATATAGGCCATAAATAACTGCAAAAAAAGCAAATATTCATTTAAAAATTAAAATTACATCATTTTTATGTTTGTAAATTCTACACACATCTTGAAGGAGTTAAAGGTTCATTGATTACTTCAATAAATTGTCTACAATAGGTAGTATGACTTTTCAAATTATGCAACTCACAGTTTTTGCACTTTTAGTTTGGCAGAAATCAGAATAAAACACAAATTTGAAAATGTTTTAATTTCTTTATTTCTATTCAGTTGTTTTAGTCACAATCAATTACACAATATTTGTAATGTTATCACATTAACCTTATTCTCCACATTTTTAAAAATTGTTATAAAGGAAAATTTAGTGCTAAATTAACAGTTTATGTGGAATTGTCACACTTTGTCTCTTTTGAAATAATTAGTTTTAGCAATTGCCATAAATTATCTGGTATAATTTTCAAATAGTATAGAGCTTAGCTGAAATAGAAATTAAATTGAAAACAAATCACTTAACTTTTCAATTTGTGTTGTTTTTAGTTTTTAGAAATGTGCAGACTTGTAGTTACTGGGGCTATGAAGTGTCTAAGCTCCCTCAGCTTAGTTACATAGTGCTCATATACAGCATACATAATATATGTTTTTGCTTTCATTACATAAACTTACAATACTGTTACTTATTGCCATTTAAACTGTCGTCAATAGCTCTAGTGCTGACTGATGAAAAGAAAAATACCAGTCACAAGTTTTTTCTGTAGTCCCGAATGGTTTATTCCTGGTTAAGACTAGAAATATGAAGCTCAAGCCTTAGAGATGCATACATTTTTTTGGGTTTTAGAAGTAATAAGCTTTTAATTGATGTGTTATTTTTATTTTGTATTGAAGCTCTTCATCAGAATAACAGAACAGTGATGTATTATATGTTGATATAAAATGGTTGGCAAATCACTTAAAACTTGGCAAACTAGGGTTAAAATAAAATGACTACAGAAACTCATGAAAATTAAAAAAAATTAGTTTTACTGGAACATTGCAAGTCCAAATTGACTTGCAATACATTAAATATTGTAAGTTGTGTGTGAAATCACAATAAGTCAGAGCCATAACTAGCCATTCCTGTGCCCTGTGCCCTGTGCAAGAATTTGCATTTAGGCCCCTTAATTTATTTGGTTTGGGAAAATAAAACAAATATATTACAATAGATTTTTAATAAGATTTATTTTAATTGAACATTTCTGGCTTTCATTTTAGCAAATTCATTAATTACATGATCGTAATTAATATTTTTAATGATAATGTATTCTATTGAAATTATAGAAATATTGGACAATCGTTCTTGCCCGATAGTTAATCTTAGTAAATTTTTTATTTTAACTGGCTAAAACTTCTCCCTCACGAAGCAATAGAAATGGGAAGAGTTAGAAATATTGGAAGAGCGACATTGATATTTGGGTAAGACTCAATTAAGCCAAAATCATGAAGAGCCTGTAGAATATTAAGTGGAGATGCAGTTTCTATATTTTGTATAAGAGTTGTTACTTCAAACTTAAAACTTTCAATTTCACTTGTGAATTCATACTTTTTTAAATCTTTGCTATATTTAATAACGAGAACTGCAGCTGATTTTTTTTTAAATCAGCAACACTCATGTATTGTAAAGAAGAGCCATAGAGAAAGCAAAATTTAGCCTTTTTTCAGTAACATTTTAAAGACCTCGGGGGGCCCCTTCGAGGCTCTTCTCAGCCGCATAGTTCGCTTACCGCTTAATCCGCCGTTGAGGTATACAACACATATGCGTATCACAATAAAGCAAAAAATTATGTCAGAATTTCTGCACGTTTTTTACAACCTCGAGACTAAGATTTTATTCGAGAGTTACCACATTTTCTATTTAGCAACTAAAAAAATCCTCGGGCAGATTTATTTTTCTTACAAAATGTTACCTTTACAGATTTCTAGCTCTGCACACTAGAAAAATCTAGAAATACAGTTTTGTATATTGTAATAATATTAGTCATCGCCAGAGAGCTCTATAAAGTAGAGAAAAATCTATAAATTTGAAAACTATAAACATAAATTAAAATTTCTCAAAAAATAAACAAAATTTCAAAAGTCGCTACTTTTGGCTGATTTGTCTGCGGTCTCCGCTATCTTACTACGTCCCTCTAAAAGTCGCTATGGTTGGGAACACTGGTGAGCAAACATCTAGGGTCTAAATAAGGCAAAATGTAATCGCCAATAAAAGAGGAAAAATGTAAGATTTAAAACTATAATTCCTTGTAAACAGCAGTTTGGGCCCCCCTTCCAAATGGGCCCTGTGCGAATGCACCTGTTGCACCTGCCTAGTTACGGCTCTTCAATAAGTTATGCATCAAATGCATGTAATAAAAATTATATTAAATATTTCTGTTTACTATTGAGTTTTAAGCACTAAGTGATATTAATTTAATATTAAATAATAATATACATTTAGATAGATTAATGTGGAATTTAAATTTTTTTTAATTGCAAATGATTATTATTTTTTGTTAATAAAAAGTTATTTAATTTTTATAGAGTTAGTAGTTAAAATAGTTATCTCAAAATTTTAAATTTCTATGTAATTCAAACAAATAGATGAAATATACTTGACATATTGTTTATTAATCTTAATGAAATATTTTAGTATTAAGAGTACATTAAATAATAGTCTTTCAAAACAGAAATGTTTAAAAATGTTAAAATTGATTTGTTAAACTAAACACTAATATGAAAAAGAATTATTATAGTTCAGAAAATAAAGTACATTCTATTATAATATCCAATAACATTTTCAATATGCCAAATTATAGTTCAAGTAGATTGTAAACTTGTTTATAAGGAGTTATTTACACCTCTGTATTAAGTAAGAATCTTTGATTTCAAATTGATTTACATAAAAAGTTTGTAATATTACTGATAATGACAAAAGAATTTTAAATTGAGGCAAAACTGAATATATATGAAAAAATATATATTAGCAATACTCATTTTACATATTACAAATCATATGTATAAAATTACAAATTTAATGTAAGTATGTAATAATTTAATATTAATTTAAACTCTTGAATAAAATAATTTGGAAATTTTAAATGTATAAAAGTGAAACAAAAAGTGAACACTTTTAAAAGTATTTATTTTTAATTTCAGTCTTCAGCAAAGCCAGCAGAATGGAAACAATTTTCAGGGGTATTTCAATGGCATAAACTAGAATGTAAATTCAATTTAGATTTTCGGATACCTGTCGACAAAAATAAAATTACTCATTCATTATTAAAACAAATTGAAATTGGACTTTTACCATTTTTCAATACTACCAGCAGAGCTGCAGCATTAGTTAATGGAAAATTTCGTAAAGACGAAGAGTTATTAGATCCAAGCATGGAAGGAAAAAAAGGAAAGCATTCAAATAAGTCTTCCCAACAATACTTTGCATTAGATCTATTTTTACCTTTGGTAAGCAAAGTTAACTATTACTTTTTTAATAGTTATCAATTTTAAGGCTGATTGTAACTTGTTTCACTATACACATGACCTCCAGCAAATGGCATTAAAAAGTTAATTCTTTTTCTGTGGGAAAATCCTTTTTTGAGAATTTTTGAAAAAAGAAAAATATAGAACCAAACAGTTTTTTGCATTAGAATCTTATTTAATTCTTCTACTAATGTATAGTGCAGAATTTTGAAAGTTGAATTCATTAATTGGCTTTAAAAATTTGTACAGTCTACTGGCACTACCAAATTTAATGTCTGTAGGGATGAATCTAGATTTTTTGGGGCCTATTGAAGTCCAATGGGGCCCCATTTTTTGTTAGATTAAGAAATCAATTGATCACAATAAAACAAATAATACTATAAATTACCATTGTTATTATATTATTAATATTAACTATTTTTTACTACGTGTTAAGTGCTCATTGTTAATGAAAAAGTATTAAAAATTTATGATGATAATTCAATATTTATGGGCCATTGACACTTGGGGCCCGGTGCTTAAGCCCTATTAGTCCCTACGTAGATCTGCCCCTGGATGTCTGATAGTGTTTGTTTCTTTTTAACTTCAAAATAATTAAAGATACATTTATTGCAATTACAAATATATATATGTAGTTGCTTTTTTTGTTAATGTTTATGCTTCTTTTAAAAAATATTTATATTTATTGTAGATAAATATGCTATGCAGTGCTGGAAAACTATTTTTATATTTTAATGATTTCAAAATCATACCTCAAATTAGTAGTGTCTTGGACCCTGTAAATCATATTTTTGTTGTTAGAATAGTCATGCTGGTCATCTATCTAACTCCTTTCAGGGGAAATTTTTGAATTCTTCTGGTTTGCTTTAGAAGTTCATATATATCATGGCTGTGGGGCCACGTAAAAATTGACCGACTCTGACTCCGACCAGAGGTTGACTTGTTACCGAAAGAGACCTGGAAATTCTGATGTCATTACGTGACCTCAGAATAGAAGATTCAATAAATAGAGTTCTAATAAAGATAGAACATAGAAACCTTTTATTCCAAAGCTAAATGACTCCTCTAAGTAATATATAAATATGTATTCGATAATATTTACTTTTCTGACCGTTATATAACAGAGGAAAAGTGTAGCGCTCAGTCGAAAAATGTCCCCTCCAAAATTTTTACATTTTTGGACTCAGGACACCTTGAAATTTCAAGATATGCAAAAGATTTGAGGTTTTTTTCTATATGTGTGGATGTTAGACTGTATGGGGGAATGATTTTGTTCACTCTGTTTGAAGCCTAATAATTTCTGTGGTCAGAATGGTCAGAATCGGAGTTAGATGGTTTAACACAGGAGTTATTTATTAAGCGTTAAAGTGGTTGAACTAAATCATGTCCCTATACACATTCTAACATCTTAGGCGAGAACATCTTAACAGGTTTTACTGTACTATTATAAAATGGCAAAAAGAGCTTACTTTGTGGGTAGAGACGAGTTTTATTTTATTTCTTTTTAATTTCAAATGTTAATAACAAGTGAAATATTCATTAAGATATATGACACATGACCCCTTTTATGTCTTCACCCTGTTCACCTTTAATTAAGAACCAAAATTTAATAGTATTAATGCCCCTTTATACGCAAGCTACAGCGCCACATTTTGTTTCTTAAACTTTACCCATTCTGAGATATGGTTTAATATCTCAGAACAAAAAATAAAGAAGTTAAACAAATTAGATGCCAAGACACGTGCGCGCGCTAATTTTTTCCCTTTTATTGACTCTTTTGGGGTTTGGGAGATCTCCAAACGTGTAGATTTGCAAAAAAGACTTAGAGGGTCAAATTTGACATGATTCCAATACTTTTCTGTTTTATATACATAACAAGTTGGTAAGTAAAAAGAGTCAGAGTCGGGGAATTTTTTGACAACTCCGACTCTGACTAAAATACTAAAACTCCACGACTCTGACTCCACATCCCTGGTATATATTTAATCAGGGCCTTTTGTCCCTAAGCTTTCCATATATGATCTTGGCTTTTATCTATGTAACTTTGTTCTCATGATTAAGGACAAACAGGCAGATGAACAACAGTGGGAATTTATAGATCTACAGTTTTTTCAAATTGCAGCTCAATCAAAACATCTTTCTATAATGTAAAAATTCATGTTGTTTAGTATAATATAACATAAGTACAATTTAATTTATAATATTTCATAAATGTTATATAATAATGAAGCTATAATATAATGCTCATAGCAATTTAATATGTTTTTTTATATGGTGCTAAGAATTTTATTATTTTTTGTTTTCAGCATTTAAACAATAGTGATGATAAGGATCCTCAAATTTTAGAATGTTCTGCTGCAATGACAGTTAAGGGTACAATTCAATGTCGTGCTTATATTCACAATAAAGGAACTGTTAAAGAAGCAATACAGGTAAATATCTATACTCAACAAATGTTTCTTTCAAATATATTAAAAAATTATGAAAATACAGTGGTACCTCGGTATACGTCTGCTTTAGAATACGTCAAATTCGGAATACGTCCTGTTTGGACGAAAAAAATTTTGCTTGGTATATGACTTTTGTTCGGTATACAACTTAATTCAATTATACATGCCATCTATGAACAAGTAGCATTATTGGTGTACTAGACCAGACTAGACGTTCTCCGTGCCACAGTTTATAACTTTGTTAAATTTCTTCTGATTTTAATTTGTAAGTAAAATTTTCTTATTTTTATTAATCATGAATTGCAAAAAGGCAAACAAAAAGCAAAAGAAAACTAAAAAAACAAATTACTAGAATCACAATGGAACTGATAAAAGAGATTGTTGAGAAATATGAAGGTGGCATGTGTGTTCGAGATTTAACTGTTGCATAAGGTATTCCGAGAACGATGATATTGACAATCATGAAAAATAAAGACATTATTGAATCTGCTAACATTGCGAAAGGGGTTAAATCAATTTCTAAACAGAGATCGAAGACATTAGATCATGTTGAGAAATTGCTTTTGCTTTGGATAACTGAAAAACAGTGTGCTGGCGACATCCTATCAGAAGCAATTATTTGCGAGAAAGCGAAAAAGATACATGCTGATCTCATGAAAAATCAAACAGGAACTAACCAGGAAAGCGAGGTGTTTAAAGCCAGCCATTTTTTTTACATGAGAACGGATTAATCGTTTTTACGTTATTTCTTATGGGAAAGGTTGGTTCGATATACGTCCTATTCAGTATAAGTCCAAACATCAGGAACGGATTAAGGTCGTATACCGAGGTTCCACTGTATTTATAAACTAAAAATAAATTGTTATATTATTAATTGAATCTGTTTATTCTTCATGATAAACATTTATATTTCAATATATTTGAACTCAGAAAGAAATTTTTAGTGAACTTTTTAAAAATTTTGCAACTACATAATGACAATGTGTGTGTGTATATATATATATATATATATATATATATACACAATACTACCTCAGGATACGAAATTAATCTGTTCCTAAACTGAGATCATATCATGAAAATGTTGTTAGGTGAATCATTTTTTCCCATATGATTACATGTAAAAGCAAATAATCCATTCCAACATGAAAAACACACTCAAATAAATGCTAAGTAGTACATTGAAAAAAAAACTTTAGTAAGGAAAACACTGAAAAGTGCCTTTTGTAGTTATAAATGTATAAATAACGATAATAGAATAATAATTGATAAAAAAATATAGTTTTATTTACACATTACCTTTGAAGATAGACGACGGTGGAGGTGTAAACTGGTGGCGGAAGAGAGGGAGTAGGGAAATGATACTAAAACTTAACTTACATAACATAATGTAACAGTAACTTAAAAATNTAGTTTTATTTTCACTTTACCTTTGAGGATAGACAATGGGGGAGATGTAAACTGGTGGCAGAGGCGAGGGAGAAAGAAAATGGTACTAAAACTTAGCTTACATAACATAATGTAACAATAACTTAAAAATAACTTAACACTAATTTTTTTCTATGTATGTATGTCTCTTTAATCCGACATTAAGTTTGGTAGACTATCATTACAGCTTTCACGTTAGACACTTCTTTTATTGTTTCCACATGTGCATTTCGGACTTATATAAATGTTAAGTTCCTCTTCAGTGCAATACTATGGTTCTGTCTTCTAAAACCACAGTGTACAATGGGTAACATTGGAAAGATTTTAAAATACAGCCATTAAAAACACAGCAAATACATTTTCCAACATTTAGAAGAATATTGGAAACAAATAGATTGAGAAAACAGGTTTTCCGTATTAATGTTGGAAAATGTATTTGCGGTGTTTTTAATGGCTGTATTTTAAAATCTTTCCAATGTTACCCATTGTACACCGTGGTTTTAGAAGACAGAACCATAGTATTGCACTGAAAATTATTTGTATGTTCATAATATTGATTTAATCAACAAAATTACTTTGTTACTAATTATTTTATAGAATTTATGTTCTTTTTCTAATTTTTTTGTTACTTAACAAAACTTAATAAGATTGATAATTTAAAAATTTTTCTTTCATGAAAAATTTTTAAACTTAATTTTAAATTCATGATGTATCTTAGAATTGAGAAAATACAGTGTTTAATTAATAGATTAAATAAAATTTATTATTACATATGTTTTTTGCTATATTCATTACAATAGAAATTTATTTTAATTGCAATGCAGGTTCTTAAGCATGATATTATTAGAAGTATGACTTCTAGATGTGAAATACAATGTGAAGATCTTTTATTAATAGATGAAGAACAACAAGGTAATGTATTTGTACATAATATGTGAGTATTGTTCAAAAAGAACAATTTGTAGTTAAATTCTATCAAAATGGTATAAAAAAAAGAACATACTATACTGTACTGATGATAATTAGAATTTCTTTTCTATGTAATATTTTATTTTAATCTTTCAAGAATGGTATTTCTTATATCTTTTGTTACTCAATTTTATTCCTCCTGAATGTTTTTGTAGTAGCCTAAACAATTCAGAACAAACAATTGTTTAGGATTATAGACCAGGATTATAGAAAGAATGCTTAAGATTTACTATATATGGTGTGGCATTTTCATGTGAGATGTTATTCTGAGAAAAGGACCAAGGTCCTTTTCTCAGAATAACATCTCACATGAAAATGCAACAATTATAGATCATTTTCATGAGAGAGGTTGTTCTGAGAAAAGGACCAAGGTCCTTTTCTCAGAACAACCTCTCTCATGAAAATGATCTATAATTGTTGTAATGCACAGCATTTATTGTTGTTTCATATGGCATGAATAAGTAAAAGTAGTTTTATCACTGAACATATTAATCATATCTTTTCAAATCAGTTGAGATTGAATATTTTGTTTTTGGAGAAGTCATACTACTGGAGACTTTTTTAGAAGTAATGTACAGTAAAACTCTGCTGTCTTGTACCCCACTAACTCAGACATATTTTTTAAGAAACTACATTAATTTAAAATTTCTTAATAATAGAAAATTATAATTAACCAGTTTTTCAATATCTGGAAGACTTTTTGATATCATGTATTATATTACTGTAGTCATAAGTTTCAGGAAAGTTAAAAAGTTATATAGAAATTAATAAAAATTTAATCCATTATTTTAAAAATTTAAATTATTTTTGTTGTTGTTTTTATATTTATCTAGATCCTCATGTTGTTCATGAGCTTCCACGTAGAGTATTTGCATCTCTTCCTCAAGGTAATCTGTCTGTCTGTGATTATCTCTTTCACGGAGATTCTGCCAGTGATTCATTAGAAGCTTTTCAGGAACTCCTTGGTTTGAATTTAAGTGAAGATGATGTAGAAATGAATTTTGAAAAAACTCCAGGTGAGATTTCTATTTTATATTATTACTTCTAACATACTATATGAAAGTTGCTTTAACATTCTATATCTCTAAATAAGCTTCTTTCTAGGAGTCAAAATTTTGTAGGATAAAATAATTTAAAAGATTTAGTCTTTTTATTCAGAACAACAACAATAATATATTTTAAGGTAACATTGTATTATTTACAAAGTTTTTTAAATTTAATACTTAATAAAGGTAATGCCAGTGAACAAGAAACAACTGCCCCTAATAATAGACCCTAAAGTAAAAGCAAAAACCAACAATAATAAACATGCAATATATAAGAAATATATAAAATAATAAAAATATAAAATAGTAGCAGACCCCGCCACGCGTTGTTGTGGCTCAAAATGTATCTATTATAAATGTATAACACTTCCCCCGTGAGGGGAAATTTTTCGAAAAATTTCTTCTTAGTGTACAGTACATTCTCTTGACATACCCTATTAAAACGCAATCAAAAACGCAAAAACCCGCATCTAAAATAATATAATAGAAGACAAGTTCTTCATGGTAAGCCTTAATTTTGTCCCTCTCCCCCACGGGGAAATATCGAAAAATCCCTTCTTAGTGTACATTCTGTTGATGTACCCTATTAAAACGCAATCAAACACGCAAAAACCCGCATTTAAAATAGTATAAATAGAAGCAGAGTTCTTTACCGTAAGCCTTAATCCTAACCATCTCCCTTCAGTGGGGGGAATTTCGACACCTATATTATATAAAAACACTTGCGTATTCGAATGCAGCGTTATGTCAAAATTTCAAAGGAATCGGTAGGAACAAACGAACATTACATTTTTATTTATATAGATAGATAGAAGATGATCTGCTTTAGTTCATTTTCACAGAAAAGCATAATGCCTCGCAGAAAAGCAAACTTAGGGCGTCGTACTCGTAGCGCTATCTGTTGGACATAAAAGCCTTAACCTCGATTATATATTTTAATTTATATGAATGTTTAACGGAATAATATACAGCCTATGTCCACCCTGAGGTTCCATTCTAAATATTGGTGAAAGAATTTTTGAAATCGGATGAGTAGTTTCGGAGATTACCTGCTGCAACGAAACTTACTTACATACAAACATTACCTCTTTATATATTAGTATAGATAAAATCACTTGATTAAAATATAATAAAATATAATACATTACAATAATAAAACATAAAAATCTACAATACACATTAAAAGATGTATAATACAAAAAAAATCAACAAGGATACAGTAAATCTTTACATATCTTTTTAAAATAAAAAAAGTCTAAATAAAGAACGTCTTGAATGTCCTATTGAGGATACTGCACAAATAAAAAAAAAGCCTCTAGTTATACTTAATTGACATTTATGAATAGAAAGACAAGATTTTTTATGTGCATTAGAATCAGGACATAAAGACCAAGCTTTATCAAGAAATAAAAGACATTAAAAAATTTAAAATATAAAATTTAATCAAAATAACCTGTACAGTTGTGTAAATTGGGAAACCTCAGTCTAGTATGAGCCACATTGATAGAATTAGTGAAAGGTAAAGTAGCAAGTTTAGTAAATAACATAAAAATGTTATCAAGTTCATTATTTATTAGGTTTAACAAGCATTAAGATCGTTGAACATGACAGACAACAGTTTTCAATAAAAAGAAATCTGGAGTAGGAAGATTTCAAGCAAAAGAAAAGTAAATAACTGTTTTACACATGTTAACTGTTAGTATTAGGTTTGGATTTTTCATGTCAGCTAGGGTATTTAACTCTATTTATAATGAGATAGGATTGTTGTTAATTAGTTGAATTTCATCAGCATAAGCATTTATCTTGGAATGTATATTATTAAAATATTTACTAATATATGCAACTAAAAAACAGAGCAATAAGGACTGAACCTTTTTGAGTACTGCAGACAAGAGGAAAATCACTAAAGCAAAACTCAAAAATCCAACTTTAACATGAAAAGCTTGGGGGGAAAAGGATAAATCATGTATGAAAACAGGATCAAGACCAAATTTGGCACCTAAATTTTGAACAGAGTACTTGAAATTCTTGAGTCAAAAGTTTGTTTTATATCCAAGTATATAACAAAAGCTGACTAAGCTCTAAATGTTTAAACTTGTAGATTGCATGATCATTAAGTTAGAAGACATGGAATGAAAATGGAAACCAGTGTTGAATAAGGGGTAATTTAATGTTAATAGAAGAATATATTCATCAATGCAAACAAGATTCAAAAAGTTGTAACATTACTGATGAAATGGTAATTGGTCCAAATAAGTCTGGTTTCTTTTTAAGATAGGCAGTTAAGAACGAAGAACACCATTGGTTGAGAATAAAATTATTTTGGAGGATGAGTGAAAATATTCAATATAAGATGATAGCTGAAATTCATTTTAGGTTCTTATAAAAACAAGATTTCAGGTTTGACAAAGTTTGTTTTCTGCAGCATAGACTTGTGTAAATGGTCATTTTATGAAAAATTTATGCTATATACAGTGAATCAATATTTTAAAGTGGAAATATTTTCAATCTGATTTATGAGCCATCATAAGACTAAAAATATTAAATTGGAACAGAGGAAAAAGAAATAATACAAAAGAACAAATATTCAAAAAGTGATAGAATATATTCAAAATATAAGATATAATTTATTACATTTAACATTATATTTTATGATGTATAACATTTATGGTAAATAAGATAAATGAAAGAAAAATTTACATTAATAAATAAATTATATACTCATTTTATTATATCTTGACAGCTTTTAGCCAGTTATGTACAACAACAGAAATTTCACAAATATACTCTGTATTTTCTATTGAATTAGAAGAGCTTGGTGAAATGTACAAATCAGCATTGCATCAATATATGTGTATATACAGAATGGTCCATTTTAATCAATCCATGGAATAACTTAAAAAATACACCTCGAAAAAAAACCTCATTGAATCAAAAATGTTAGTACCATTTTGTGGTCCCTTGGAGTATATCAGTTTCATCATAGATAGAACTACAATTGGGGAAAATCAGAGTTAACTTTATTTTTCCTAAATAGGAACCTACTAGTTTTTATTGGATATTATGATTTACATCAGAACCAACTTTTATCTAAAACAATTTTTTCAAAAGATGCATTTATTAGAAGTTATGAGCATTCAAACTTTTATATGGTTGCCACACTGAGCATGTTCATGTCTGTTGCTATCTGTGAAGTTCATTCAAAACAAAGAAAGAAAATTGGTAAAAAAAAATCATTAAAAAAACTATTATTATTTGATAGAATCATTCTTATTAAATAGTAAACTGAAGTATCACAGCTTAAGGTTATCTTAAATGTACTCAATACATTTTTTATTTTAATTAAACTTTTAGTGAAATGCTTAATTAATGTGAGTTCCTGCCAGTTTTTTCCTATGGCAAATGATGCTTGAAGATACCTCTATTTTGCTGAATGCATAAGTCAATTCTTTGTTGGAAATGTGTCATAGTTTTAATAAAACATATCACAGTATGTTTGCACAAGTTATTTAAATTCTCCCAATTGTATCTTCTCTAGTTATTGGTTTCGGTTCATAGACAACGTTTTTTAAACATTTCCACAAATAAAAGTCAGTTGAAGTCAAGTCTGGCAATTATGCAGGCCATTCATATTCTAATTTGTGTGGAATTTTGTTGCTTTAGGAGGAGTGACAATGGATATGCTGTAGTGAGTATAGTAAGAATTTGAGTATTAGTTGAATTTGTGCTGTATGACAGAGTACACATATTGAGAAATTGTAATGGATAAATGTGAAACTTGAACAATCTTTCAATATTTTAATGTACATTACAACAGTCTCAGATAATAATTGGCATAAATACAATAATTTAAAATCATAGATTATTTTTGGAATACCCTGTGTGATGATAATGAAATACCAATTTATAAATGTTGATTCAATGTAGAATTACACAAAAATCTCAAAACGTGTGACTAATTCACTATTGCTATTTGAAAGATAAGCATTATTCATTTGCTTAAACATTTCTCAATATCAGAATCTACAAGGTTACAATGAAAAAAATATATAGCAAATACAGAACATGTAGACAATTTCATAAATGTACATACATAAAGTTGTTTAAATAAGAAGAAAGTGTCATTTAAATTTTTGTTTAAAGCACTGAAAAGTTTTAGTTAAATGTGCATTGGTGATAGTTATTTGTGATTGTGAAGTAAAAAGTATATTTAGAACCGAAAGCTATGTTTAAAATATTTCCATTGAATTTAATATTTATAAAATTAAATTCAATGGAAATGGTTACATACGAAGACATTTTTGATGTTAATGTAATAAAACATAAAAAATACTTAAAAATACTTAAAACTGAAAAAAAACGAAAGAAATGTGTTTATTTTGAAGAAGAAGCTTCAAATTTTATTTTCCTTTGTCTGGTCTTTCTGTGAAATTTGACACTGATGAGTCATTGTTTACACAGCTGGATGACCTTGAACACTGCTGGAGTTGGATTTACCGGGACATTCTCATAGAAGTCTCGGGAGGTGATGGGTTTATAGTAGGGTGAATACTAGCTAGCCATATATTTTTAAATATTTTAAAAAAATTCAAATTTTTATTGCGATTTCCGACCCCCCCCGACTTAATTAAACGTATATATAATAAAATCTATTAATTAAAAAAATTAAAAAAACTATCGGAGGTCATTTTTGACATCAGAAACTAGCTTTAAATAACTTTACCAAAGGAAAATCCGTCACTACAACTTTATAACGATGAATGAAATTTGATATCAAACTCCCTTTAAAAAACTATTAAAAAGCAATTAGCGTGAAGCGTGCGTCATTAAAGGTAAATTAAAATCGCGATAAAATTTTTTCGCATGGGAAAAAAATTTTGAAAAAATTTGGAGACTTAAAAAACATTCCAAAAATAAAAAAAAAATTCAAAAAGTTACATAAAATTTACATTTTAGCGTTACATAAAATGTGGCCTTAAGGACCGCATTTTATGTAACGCTATGTAACTTGCCCGAGATATCTCGGGTTATGGGCTTAAGTAATAACTGAGACAAGAATGAATTAGGTACTATATATTCAATTTTTCCAAAATTTTCTGCATTTTAACAGAAGTAAGTAGTAAATATATCATTTTAAACATTATATTTAAAACAAAAAATGAAAAGACAATTATATTTGTAATTAATAACTATAATGATGATAAAGATAGTTTTTGATTTTTAAATAAACTAAAATTTGAATGATTTTCAGATACACTACAATTATTTCAACCAGAGACTATTCAAAGTGGATATTCAGAAACTACAGAAAAAACTAAAACAAGAAATATTTTATGTAAGTTTTTTGTTTGGAAATTTATTTATTAAATTAAGTATCAGTATACCAGACTTTTGAAATAGAGTTGATTAGATATTTTTGCACTTATGATAAGAAAATATTATATATTCCAAATAAACTATCATTTTGGAATATATTTTAATCAACTTCACTAATAAAGTAAGCTATACATAATAATAATACAGGGTGGGGTGCCAAAATCCAGACAAATTACACATTTTTTCCAAACATAATTTTTATTGCAAAAAGCAAAATGGTTTACAAATTTTTTTAACCATATTGTTTGTATGGCCGTAAAGAATACATTTACTCAATATATCCCCTCTCCTGCTTGAATGACTGCCTCCATCCTTGGTCTGAAGTGTGCACAGGTGCACTTTGTGCACCATAGTCCATACCAGTGAATGCCACATCAATAGTGGCTCACAGCAATGCGACATTTGGATGTCTGGACTTGTTCATGACCCTTTCAATTATGCTCCTTACATAGAAGTCCAAAGGATTCAAATATGAGCTGTTGGGAGGGCAGAATTCTTTCAACCAAAACATGTCGACATTGTCCATCAACCAATTTTGCACCAAATGACTCACTTTAATTGTGTAAGACTTGTAGCAGAGGTCCTCCTCGACGATTCTACACATAGTTCCCTTGCTCACACGAACAACCGACGACAATTTTCAGATCAACTGACCTGGATCCTCAAAAATCAGCTCCTGAGCCCATTGAATGATTTTGTGCATCCTGACAACGTGCTCTTTCGAATGAGTTTTCCTTGCTGGTGTTGTAAAACCTTTGTTGGATTTCTCTGGCTCATTGTACTTTGCAATGATATCATACACACTAAAAACAGAATAAATTTAAGGTGAAGATTGCTAAATGTTTGTGTGTTTACACTATGGTTTTTTTTTTTACTCTTTCAGCTCTGTGGGCACTAAGAGGACCTCTGATAGCAGGCCCATTATGGGTTCGGCCAGGCCCACAATGGGGCGACCAGGTGGTGAGGGACGGGGCCAAACATATCCGAACAGATCACCCCGAAAAATTCCTGGGGATTCTTTGACCCATCCGGATTCAATCCTGGGTTTCCCAGACCAGTAGGCTGCCACCTTGACCACTTGGCCATCTGGCCAAGTGGTCAAGAGAGTTCTGTAGAGTGTTCAAAGGACAAGATATCATACACAGTTGATCTCGGGTATCCGAAGAACCAAATGATTTCTGTCACTGAGCGCCCAGTGCAAACACTTTAGATAATTGCGGCTTTTCGGTTATACTCCGCGCTTGGTTTTAATATTGTGACTGTTTCGAGATTGATGGTTTAGTACATGTATCAAGCTATTTGAACACCAAACACAACATCTACTGGTGATATAGAACAGCAGAAATTTGAAATTTAATTTTGTCTGGATTTTGGCACCACACTGTGTATATTTAAGTATACGAGGTATGTTCAAAAAATACGCAGACTGACGTCATAAAACAAAATGTACTTTATGTAGAAGTTACATGTCTGTGTCCCCTTCAAAGTACTCTCCTTCCCAATGCACATACTTATCCCAACGGTGTTTCCACTTGTTGAAACAGTCCTGGTATGCTTCTTTTGTAATGTCTTTCAGCGCTTTCGTCGCATTTGCCTTAATCTTGGGAATTGTCTCAAATCTTCTTCCTTTCAAGGGTCTTTTGAGTTTGGGGAACAAGAAAAAGTCACAAGGAGCAAGGTCAGATGAGTAGGGGGTGGGGAAGAACAGTGATCGAGTGTTTGGCCAAGAACTCACGAGTTCTGAAGGCTGAATGGGCTGGAGCATTGTCATGATGAAGATACCAGTCGCCACTCCTCCACATTTCTGGCCTTTTGCGACGGATGGCGTCCCTCAGACGTTTCAGAACTTCGATGTAGTAAGTCTGGTTTATTGTGGAGTCTTGAGGGAGGTGCTCGTGGTGAACAACACCCTTAGCATCAAAGAAAACTGTCAGCATCCCCTTGACATTGAATTGAACTTGGCGAGCTTTTTTGGGTCTGGTTGATCATAGCAAATGTTTCAGTTGCAGATTTTCCAAGTTTAACACAAAATTTCATAGCTAGTCATTGCTCCATCAGGTCATTCATTCTGAAATCCGACAAACGAAAAAATCGCATTTCACTAAAAACCGCATAGCTAATCAACAAGTAAAGATGTTTGTAATTGGGAAACGGCTCAATCACCAGACAATCTGTACAAACCTAGCGACACCAAGCTGATTCCCCTGGAACCAACTGGATCCGCACAATTCAAACAGTCCACATATGTTTTGAACACACCTCGTATAAGAAAATTTATATTTGTACAATTATTGATAAATAATTTCTTTTTAATCTTACATTATTACTATATAATAATAAATAATGTATTTTATTTTGCCAGCTAATTCAATATTTTCAAATTCAGATTTTTAAATGATACTTCCTTTAAAACTTAAAGAAATATCTACTACATAGGAGTAACTAAAAGTGTGTTTAGGAAAAGAATGATAATGCATAAGAGAGGCAATGATAATTAAGACCTGAAATTTTAGTTTTAAAAAATTTAGAAAATAGTTAAGAGTTGTTGAAAAATCAAAAGTAGTTTTTTAAAAACTTTAAAATAACAAAGTTTTAAAATAGTTTTAAATCTTTTACAAAATAATGTTAATCCTGAAATGGTAAAATGGATTGTTAGATGTCTCACTCTACTTGATACAAGTTTAGTATTTTGTCATTTTATCTAGCAATACTTCGGTATCTCACTCCCTATATCCTGTTTTCAGTATTTGAAAGACATAGTTTAATACCTGATCATGATATCCAAATCAAATAATCCTCTTAATATGCTTCTGATGATAATTAATTATTAAAAGCATATTTGTGAAAAATTCAAAACTTTTTTTTAGTAAAAGTGGTGGAAAGTTGGAATCGATTCTGTTCCAGTGTCTGTTTTCATTTGTTTCAGTGGCACTGTCTGTATTATATGCAATTTTTCAATTTAGTGATGCTTGTCACAGTTCTAGTGCACTCTTAAGAGCTTATCTTTTATTATTTTATTTTTATATACTAATATTTTGATATAAAATGTACTGCATTGTTTCATGTTTTTTGTTGCTATCTAATGCATATTAAAGGAAATGCAATTCTTATAGAATTCTTAATATGTAATATTATATTTATCATTGTATTACTACTTACTAACATATCCTGCAATGACTTCATTAAGTGTTTTTAGTAGGGTAATTGGAATTGTAACGTTAATATCATGTTAAGAACATGAATTGATAGATCAATATTTTAGTGTCATTTGAAAAAATTGGTTAGTTATTTAGGCACAAGCTAGAATTTTTCCGATAAGAAATAATGGAAACATTTTCCAATATCTGAATTCCCAATATTCATTTTCAGGAATTTACATTCAGGTATTAAAGTATGACTGTATATGTATGTTTATCAAAGCCATATTTTTATATAGAAGTGATAAATACAGGTGTATATAAATCTTACAATGAAGCTCTTATAACAAATATACAAGGTAGCTTCAAAAAATTTCCAGAATTGGTTTATTACTCAAAAGTTTCTGTACAATTGACAAATCAAGCAATGTGTCTTCAAAATATTGTCCTTTGGCAACTACACACTTTTACCAATGCTGGTATAGCTACTGAAAACATTCTTGGAAGCCATCTTGCAACAGTGCCTGCAATGCAGATATTGCACTCTGTACAATCTCATCTGCATTCTTGAAGTGACATCCCTTGATGTCATCTTTCAACCTGAGGAAGAGATAGAAATAGCATGAAGTCTGCCATGAGCATTGGTGGCACCATGTGTTGGCAAACACTGTGCAAGTTCATTGATCATGCAGGATGGAATGACAACTTTCAACCGAAATTTCTGCTGTTTTGGCAATCTGCACAATTGACTGCTGGCTGTCTGACCTGATAGCCAGTCATCGCTTCAGGCTGTATCATAAGTATAAGTCGGTACAGGAGATCAGGGGTATGATACAGAGGGCCAGGCACACACGACATTTGATCTGAGGTGGATCCAAGGCCACATTGGAACCCCGGGCAATGAGTGTACCTACCAACTGGCCAAGGAAGCAGCCAGGGGTCGATTTGTTATGAGGATGTTGAACCCTCAACTTCTTACATAAAAAGTACTCTGCTTCAAAAGGTCTATGACATACTGGCAAGAGTGCTGGACTCAAAGTACAATAGGTAGGTCAACCTATATCTTTGTGGCTGAACTCCAGTGAGTTGTGAATGATATACAATGCAAATACTGACCAGACATGGGAGGTTTCCCCACTTCAAGTCCAAGTTTGGACAAGGAGATGGTAGCTGCTCCTGTGGGTGTCCTTGTGGTGACACGAGGCAGTATGTACTTGAAGGTCTTCTAACCAAGGACTTCTGCCGAGGGACTGACCAGGTTGACTGGTCTAAGCCTTACAAACAAGTACTTCAAATGCTTGCAGCAAGTAAAGGAAACCTATTGAAACTAAAGGAATTGATGGGAATAGTAATAGGTCTCTTCAACCTATAAGCTCAGTAGACGCAGCGGGATCCCCTTTTCTAGGATAGGGATCCCGCTAATTGTTTATAAAAGCTGGCTTTTCATTGATATAGTACTCTAACTTGTAAGTGCAGTACAGGCTGCACACAAAACAGTACGACATTGTAAGAGGGTTGAACTTGATGGCGAGGAAGGCAAGGAAGGTTAGTCCCCATTGGTTGTATCACCAGAGACAGAGCATTTAACTTCAGTGATTACTGGATGGCAGACCAGACCTGTGATTAAAGTACAGTCTCTTTGTACTCTGTAGTACTATTTAGTGGAGCAGAGGCATTTTTACTTTGAGTTGTGAGTATGAGGTTCTCTGACCGCACAATCTCATGTACAACTGACACTTTCCCCTCAGACATTAATGTTGACAGATGACCACTTCACAAATAATCAGTAATACTTTCTTGTCCCTCACAAAAGCGTTTTTGCCAGTCATAAACTTGAGAATGCATTGTGGCAAATTCAACATAGGCATCCAGAAGCGTCTTCAAGGTCTCTGAGAGTTTTTCCTCAATAATACAGAAAATTTGATATTTGCATGCACATTATTCTTCCACAGATATTTTTGCCAGGCTCTGTCTCACGTCGTTCCACTAACAAGACCTTCAGTGAATGGTAACTGTTGTCATCTTTGCAGTGAGTATGGATTTGTTTGAACCTATTTCTCTATTCCTGATATGTTTAGCTAAGACATGCATTACATGTTCCCTTTTTCATTGCCTTTAATTAATTAACTAACCTAGCATAATTCTGGGAACTTTTTGAAGCTACCTTTTAAGATCATCATTGTATTTTTAGAATTAAATAAAAGCATTTTACTTTTATTACCATTTTATATAAATATAAGTATTGAATTTATAAATAACACTAAACTCATTTTGTTAGTAATAACTATAAAAAATTTTCTACTGTATGTTTTAAAATGAAAAAGTTGATAGCCAGGCCTATCACTTTGTGGGAGGCTATCCAGGATTGAATCCGGGCAAACCACCCTAGAAAATTGTCTTGCATATATGTTCCATTCATCACCATCCATTATTGGTCTGGCCTCAATGTGGGTCATACCTCTTAGTGCTCATTGTGCACTAGAAGGACATGAGTGGAAACAAAAATGGAAAAAAAATGAATGTTTGATAGAAAGAGCTTTCCATCAATTTTCTATTACACTTTTTCATTTCAAAACATATAGCAGAACTTTTCACATTTTTTTCATTAATAATTTTATAGAAACTTCACATATATATTAATATATAAAAATTAATAGTAAAATTTTTATTATTATTTTAGATCCTATAGTTGGTGCTGCAGTGGCTGTTTTAGCTTTTGGAGTTACATATTTTCTTTCACAAGAAATCTGAAATTTGAATTGAATTGTTGTCATCTGATTTATTAGTTGTGCTCTTTATGATAGTAATCTGATTTTCATTAGCAATATTTTCTATTTAAATTATTTTCAATGTGAAGTAATATTTCAAATGATTAAATACCAGACGTTGTTTGCAATTTTTGAGAGATCATTCCTAATGATATAAATGTAATTTCAGCTCAAACTCACCAGCATTACATTAATTTTGATACCTGTTTTAATTCTTTGAGTTGCAATGTATCCATCACTTCTTGTCAGTTATATGAAATTTAAAATTACAAAAGAGCTTTGTTGTGCCTTTGATTTGATGACTTACAAAAACAATCTATTTTTTTATATGGCTATGAAAAATTGAAATTAAAAGTGATTGCAAAATTATTAAATATATTTTTCTTATTTTAATTTTGGTTATATATTCTTAATAATTTTAATTTTCTATTTTAAATAATGGATTTAGGGCAATTTCTTAAAATTAAGAAGAAAAAGCATTTTGTAAATGTACAGTGTGTCAATATGTATATGTATACACTTCAGTAATAAATTTATATGAACTTTTTAATGCATTTTATCAAAAGTCAACGTATACAATACATCACAGCATTCATTATTTAACCAGGCATTGGCAGATAGGAAACTGGACACTTTCCTGGGATAGAGTAGAAATATCCACAAATTATAATCATAAAGTGATTGAGATATGAGACACTCCCATATAATTGTTCTCATAATTAAGGGAATGTCGTAGGACTCAGATAGTTCAAAGTCATCTATTGAGAGAGAGGATCTTACACAGTTCTACAGTTTGGTCACTCATCACGCCAAAGAAAGTCCTTAGATCCATGAAACTCCTGCTTCAAAGTGTCCATCAGACAAAGGGGAAAAGTTTTGGATCCACAAGTCAAGTCAGTACACACTTCAATGAGCAAAGAACTATCAGATGAAAAAAGTGCAAAGCAACACTAGTTTTTTCCAAGTTGCGACAAAGCAGATGCAACAAGGCATATAGAAATTGATTATTTCTCACAGGAACGTGAAGCTGATCACCTGAGGAGTAAGACCCAAAGAAAGGAACATTGAGAAGTAACTTTGTAAAAAAGCACTTTGAAAGTGAAACTTGAGAAGAGGCTTGATTGACACGAATATCAAAAAGGAACCTCAGGTCCTTGGGACAGGAGTTTTTATCTGCTCGGCCTTTCGATAGCCCAACCTGATTAGTCTCGTTTCCACGTTTTCTGATTGGTCTCATACAGTACCTATTTCAGGGGTAATTCGAGATCAGCTGAAACATTTTAATTCAATGCCGAATTCCAACCCCAACTGGAGATGGTTGATCTTAGGACTTACACTGTTTATCAGTTTCTGTTATAGTGTAACTTTAAACGAAAATATTGTGTCTTGTTTCGGTTTTTTTCTAATTGAACAATTTTTTTTTGGGAGAGCAAATTTTTGATGAGGGTTTGAACCCTGTCTGGAGCCTCACAATGATTACTTTAACGTAATTTTAAAATAATTTTATATGCTAAACAATCATTTGTGCATATTAATAGTAGTTAATACTTAAATTGCTGTTGTGTGTCACTATAACTATATACATGCTTCTGTAAGAAATAGTTTACAGAAATCAGCATTCTTTCATTAGAATCGTCTCTGGGACTAAATTCATAATAATTAACGGATGTTCACATTTTTATTAGGACACTTATTGCTTTTACAAAGATACAGGTAAAGTGGAGGGATACATTTTGTAGCATAAGTGATGAAGGATTTGGTTTACTACTTCGTTTCATGCACGAAGTTACAGCGAATGGACCATAGTTACGATAGTCTTTATTTCTATATTCAGTTCTGAAATGAGATTATCTGAATGCAAGTGTGACCTATCTTAAACATTCGTTTCGTTTTGTAAAGACATCCTGTACTCATTCGTAATGTGTCTGGTGCATTTCTTTCGATCCAAAACTCCAGTTAACTGAAGTAAAGTAGAAAATTCTGAATAAAGTCCACTTGCCATCTGTAAAGAATATCCACTTAAGCTTTTAATTATACAAGAAATATAAAAATATTAGTTATTCTTATTTAAAATTTCAAAATATTAAGTTAACTTTTAGAATAATACAATTAAAGATGGCCATATTTTCATTTTAAAATGAATATATATATATAGGCATTTCATTGTTAAAAACGAGAGCTATGTAAATCAAAAAGAGCAAATTTGTTATTTGGAATCTACATTTCATTTGAATTTTAATCTGGAAGTTGAAAATAATGAATGCCCTCTAACTGCAGTAGCGAATTCAGAAATTGGAAGTTTAGAGGGGATGCAGAAAGGAAATAATGTATCTTATAAAATTATTTACTACCGGTTTTACTCGGGAAAAACCGTAGGAAGGGATGCAGATACTCCCTAAATTCGAGATTGGGAGGGGGGATGGAGGTCAGTCATCCCCACCATATACGTAACTACAATGCATTTACATGCGATTCAATTCTACATTTGGTCGTTTATCGGGTTTCGTACTAGAGAAGATGTGAGGAACCTCCTAAAATATCATTAAAATGCATTATTATCGGACATGCATGTTTTCAAAATTTCAGCTGTCTATCTTAGTTAGAAAAGAATTAATCTAAGTTGCAAGATTAAGACAAAGCAAATTTTAAAAACTTATCAGAAAAGAGAAAGATTGGAAAAATTCTCTCCGGGCACCAATTTAAGATTCAACGGGAAAAAAACACTTGACTGAGGAAACACAAATTACGATAACTGGATCTTACTCGAATTAAAAAATTCCTTTTGATAAAGAAATATCCGCCCATTGATAATCCTATTGGGTTTCTTCCAAATCTCTTCAGGAAACAAACCATCTGTGCAAACAGTAAAACACAAATAAGATAAGAGAAAATAATGAAATATTCGATAAAAATACATACTTTATATTTGAATCTCAATGGGAACGAAACAGAAGAAAACACTGCTACTGATACAAAATTGTCGTAGATCTGAAAAAATAAAAAACATTTATGTTTAATTTAATTAATTTTTTTGAAGAAAATGAACTGAAATGGAAAAATACATAGACATATATATATATATATATATTATTTATATATAATATAGGCCTATATCTACTGATGTTCAGAAAAGTCAGATGATGATAATATGAAATAAAAATCGCCTGATATTATCCATTGTGATTTATAAAATTAACCTGTTTATAGAAGTTAACTGAAAGGTTGAGGTCAACAGTGGTCTAACCCTCTTAGTTGAAAATGAGTTAGTTAACAGTGCCATACTTTCATATGTTAAACAACTTTGCGGATGATATTGTGCTGTGTGAACCTTCCCAGACCAAGTCTGAGAAGAAACTGGAAGAGAGAAAGAAAGTTTTGGAAGAAAGGGGCATGAGGATTAGCAGAACTAAAACAGCTTATGTGACTCTGATGGCAGGGACGAATGCAATACGTATTAAAATCCAAAATGTGTCGCATCCTGTGGTTCCGAGTTTTAAGTATCTAGGGGCTTTTGTCGAGATGGGGGAGGAGGATTGAACTCGGAAGTTCAACATAGAATTCAATGTGGACGATTGAACTGGAGGAAGTTGAGCGGTGTGTTATGTGACAAGAAACTTAGCTGCAAACTAAAAAATGAATTGTTCAAATCGGTTGTTAGATCTGCAATGTTTTTTGGGACTGAGACATGGGCAATCACAGGAGCCCAAGAAAGAAAGATGGAAGTGGCGGAGATGAGAATGTTGGATGTGTGGAATGTCAAGGAAGGATAGAATAAAGAACTAGTTTATTAGAGGTTAAGGTGGGTCCCTTGAGCAGGAAGATGCAAGAATGCAGGTTGAGGTGGTTTGGCCACGTAGAGCGAAATAGTGAGATTGGAATGAGGGTCAGAAAAGTGGTAGTGAAAGGGAGGAAGAAGAGAGGAAGACCAAGGCTGCGTTGGAAAGATAAGGTGGAGGAAGACTTGAATCAGAGGGGACTTAAGAGTGATGATGTCGTTGATAGGAAGAAATGGAGAAAACATTAGAGAAGGAAATGCAGACCCAATATAAACATGGGAAAAGAGAAGACGAAGAAGACTGTCTCTACATACAATAAAGATTAGTAGGTTCATTTAAATATTGATGGAAAAAATATAACACCGAAATATGAAAAACTAGCGTAAACATTTATAATACAGGGTTTTTAAAATAGTGTTGTGCCCAGTTTTTCAAGTACTGTATTCATTTAATCTATTTTTAAAATCATTTAATACATTATATAGATAATGCTGACAAAATATCGCTAAAATTACTGTAGATACGTTTTGAAATTTTACTTACCATTGATGTCATAGCAGATAGAGCCCAGGAAACGAACAGACACCCTATAAGCATTACTAACGCAACAATGGCGGTAACTTGACGCAACGATTCATCCATGTCGACAAAAATAGCTCCATACAATAAAATGCAGCAGAGGTATACTGAATGACTGTAGACTAAAGGAAAAAGTATTTTCCATTGTTTGTTTATCTGTTGAAAAAATTCTCTTATCTCTAAATGCTTCTCCATCATTCCTTGGAAAAATACGGCCGTGGCATCATCTTCGATATCTTGTAACTCTTTAGATAAATGAACCGATCTCATTGCCATAACGAATAGACCTTCGGAGCAGCAAACAAGAATGGTAATCATTTGCCCAGTTATATAAATATAATATATTTGTGCTGCAACAGAACAAAACATAGCTTCTAAATTGTTGCAATTCTCCTTCTTAAGATAAGAAAAAATCGTTAAACTCGTTATAATACAAATTAATTCTTGCAAGCAAAAGAGGAGGGCAAGAAATCCAATTAGCTTACATTCAAATTTGTTAATTATTTCTTCTTCGCCATCATAAGAGCTTCTCCTGTAGCATACACATATCTTTTTTCTCTTGATGATGCTAAACTGTAGGGCGATATATACAGAAATTATAAAGTGAGCAAAATTGACGTGAAAAGCATATTTTCCGAAAATAAGAAATAATTTTTTGCATGGAAAATATCTAACACTCGTCGTCATCAATAAAACGGCTACCCATAGAATTAATTCGATAATGTTAACATAGATTCTGAAAGCTGCATCCGAAGATTGATGATTCTTTTGACTGCATTTGCATTTTGTCATCAGATGTAAACCGAATAATCTACCAGCAACCGCGACTGAGTGAAATTGCCAAGTCAAGCAACTGTATTCACCAAATTGTTTTGTATAATTATGCATATTTGCTTGTTAAAATGGAAATTTGATTACAATACATAGGATCCATTTTATAAATTAAAAATTGAAATTATAGTTGTCGGGCACTGTGTGCCAGAAGCTACTTTCTACGCTAAATTTAACGTGCCTTCGTTAATAATTTCATCCGTTTTGGGGCGGAAATACATTGCTTAATTTCCACTTTCAATTTCGTAATGAATTTGATAGCATTATTTATTACGGAATTTAAAGAGGAAATTATGCAAGATATTTACTACCTGCGCAAACGACATGCACATAATCAATATTAATAAAGATCATTGGAAAGGAATTCTAAGACGAAAGTCTTTCAATTAGCTTCTGTTTACATTTATGTTATAAATTTTAGTGCGTCTAGATACATTAGATGTGCATCTCATATATTTTATAGCTGTAATGTGAACACGCAATTAAATTAGTAAATACTGTATATGATGGGCAAATTCATTAAAAAAATCAATAAAATATGGAAGAATTATTGGAATGAAGTGCGACTTTCGTGGTGACTACTGCCAGTGCGGGTTTTTATTGACTGGAAAAAAATTCAGAAAACAGTTGCTTAACGTCCCCGGCGCCATCTGTTATGCTATTTTATTTTAAAAATTTATTATATTTTTAATTATAAAATGGCAAAAAGCTTAATTTTGAGAGTAGGGATAGTTTTATAAAATATTATAAATGCTAATAACGTCATTATGTCCAATCTAGGGTTTCTCAAACAAGATCTAGGGATCCCGGTTGTTTTTTAACCCGGGAAATCCCGCAAATTTCTTAAAAGTTTACTTTTTTTTTATTTTGTATTAAGGTCGAGGAAATCTTGCAAATATAATTAACTCATAAACTGTCAGAATACATTTGTATTTATTAATTTTAAACCTTTTTTTAAATTTTTGCTCGTTATGACATGTCACAAATGGTCAATAATCAATACGTAGCTTATTTATGCCAGGACTGAAAATTGTTTACATGTCAGAACCTGGAATAATTGTGTTTACGCTGTCATAGTTTTTAACCATGCCCAGTAGCTTCAATAATTGTGTAACATAGGTTGTGCAAATTGGGCAAAGATACAAACGAGTACGAAGTCTGCGAGTATGAAGGAGTTTTTCTTCATAAACCTGATTTAAGACAAACGAACTGCCGAATTATTGGGCTATAAGCTTGATATTACTATTGAACCAGCCGAGGTAGACAAATCGAGAATACTAGAGAACAAAAGAAGTACTACAATCTCGAAAACGAACTAGAAATCTTCCAGGCTACAGGTGAAAAACACATAATGTCTTCTCTTAAATGCATTAAACACGATTCCACTCGCATCAATTGAATCGGAAAGGGAATTCTCGGTAGCGAGACTTTTCATTACTAAAATAAGAATTAGATCGGAGTATCGACCATCTTTGCTTTTTAAAATCTTATAAAAATTTACGATAATGTTTTGTACTATGTTTTATTTAAAAAACGAAAATTACCTTCTAAGTTAGAAGTTTGATCTAAGTTCATTTTTTTTTAATTTTCAACTCAATTCAAAGCATTTTTTTGTTGTTGTTGTTGTAGTTGTATGCAGTTTCCAGCAAACTTTAATAAATTTTTTCTATTTGTAAAAATTTCTACGTAATTCAAAGGTAATTTTTAATATATCTTACACAGCATTATTAATATGATTTTGCAGGTTGGAGAACGTATTAAATTACTTTAAAAAATGAAAAATAATTATATTTGATTTCAAGATATTTTGTATATCTTAAAAATAATTAATTCTATCCCGGGATCCCCGGAAACAGTTTATTTTTTTCCCGAAATCTCGAGACAAGCAAAAGACCGGAAAATGAGAAAACCTAGTCCAACCTTACTCGAGACATGACACGTGACTCCTCCTATCTCCCCAGTCTCTCGACCTTTAACCATCAAAATTTAATAATAACAATCTCCTAGTACACAAGTCCTTGCAAAATTTCAGAAAGTTTCCATAAAAAGCGTAGGAGTTATTAAGCTTCAAAGAGAGTGAACAGAATCGTGCGCCCCTACACACACACTAACATCCATAAATACAGAAAAAAAATCCCAAATTTTTTTTTTATTTCTCGACGTTTCAAAGTCCAAAAATATAAAAGTTTTATCAATAAAATGCAATATTACAGAACTGTTTTCATCTAGACTGATTAATTTTCTCTATTTTTCTAAGGCTTTTAAATCTTAATCTCTAAGTGACGAAGATGATGACTTACTGAACAATTTTGCAGGACCCAACCTCTTTTCTAAAGTTTCTGTGGTGTGGATCTTTTTCATGCTAAAGCAAGGGAATCGTACAGTATCTTGGCTTAACGTCTCATTGGAATAATGACATGTCTGCAGAATTTATAACCAGGGCAGGCCGGAGGGCAGTGCGAACGATGTGACTGCACAAAGCTCCGCGATCCTGCAAGACCCAACTCTTGAGAAATTTAAAAATTGATCATTTCATTTTTTCGCCAATCTATTTAACGGATGGTATGTTTACTATTAAAATATTATTTTATTATTCAAAACTATTTTTTTTTATTATTAAAAGGCCCTCACGACAACTTTGCACCAGGCTCCGCTTTTTCTCGGGCTCATCATCCTGCTTATAACCATAGAAAATTCCAAACGACCTGAGCAGAATTCTGTTTCGAATAGGATAGTGCCTATTTTTATACGGTTTTTCCACGCAAAACAAATTAAATAAATAAATAATTATTACTTTTAAATTAAGTCTTCCTCATCCTTGAACTATCAAATGACTATAGCTAACAAAAAAAATAAAAGTTGTTTTACTAAATTCAAAATTATATTTACATTTTTAAAGGTGCAACTTTGGTAATTATTTTGGACAGGAGTTTGCTTTGTAAAGTTTTGCTTCAGAGTCCATGCTTCTTCCTTATGTATACATCATTTAAAGTTTGTGTGTAGTTTGAAATGTAGGAACTAATTAATTTTCTTAAAATCCAATTATAAATTACATTCATTTTTTTTTTTAATCTTTGCTACATGAAAGTATTGGATTTTTCCATCCACGGTTGAATTATCTCGCACGGACGAAACATCATAGCTGGCTAGTGAATAAAAGATGGTAAACCTTCCTCGATTGCTTTTTATAATTGTAAAAAAAATACAATAAATTCTGGATTTGGATATAAAAGTCCCTGATAATCATTTAAATTTATTAGACTCATAGAAGGGGCACGAGTCTTCACTGGTCCATTATATCCAAACAGCCAGAACAATCAATATTCTCTTCCACAACCCTAAGTACATAACAATGTAGGCCATTGTTACAGAATAAATATTGGTATATATAATGTTACGAGGTCTGGTTGCAAGTAGTTTCAGTTCTGGTTCAATTACCTTCAGTAACTCTTTGACACCTTTAATTTCATCAGTTGACACATTTTTCACAGTCTCACTGGCAGCGTTGCCACAATGAAATTTCAAAATGTACTGAAGCTCCTTCAAAAAATGTACTATTTTCCTTCAAAATGTACTATTTCTATGATTGGTTACTTTTGATATTAATATACCATGATACTCAATTTTTGTGCTTATTTCAAATTCATATTCATGAATACTTTGTTAAATATGAATACTTTAAAATTAAATATTTCATAAAAAGATTTTATGAAAATAGTTTCTATGGTTTTTTGTTAAATATAGCATTAAAAGTTGATTTTTTTTAAATATTATAGTGAAGGATAAAAAAAATTATAAATTAAACATGCGCGGACAGATTCAAATTTAAAAAAGTTATTTCTTTTACCAAGATTACTAAAATTTAAGTTCATAATTAAAAATTAAATTATAGTGGTAGAAAATAATATAAAAGTATTTATATTATTTGTACTGTACAATTTCAAAACTATTTTGTGTAATAATTAGACTCTGACTTAACGGATATTTTGATATTATTGATGGCAAAATTTTAAAATCATTGATTTCCTTATCTGTCCATTATTTTTGTCTGACAGAGTTGAATTGTTTGGACCACGTGGCGTGAAAAATTTTGTCAAGGTCCTCGTGAGAATGTGTAGACGACTGAAACGTGTGAAAGAGAACCACTGAGTCATAATATTTGGGTGCGTTTACTTTTGGCTCAGATCTCGCCCTAGCGCGCTCAGTCTGTATACGTTTTGATAGCTACCAATGAGAACGACGTTTACTTTTCGCACCCGTGACGTCATTGCTAGCATTCCTAGTGCGCTCGGTGTGCTCGAAGAATTTACAAAAAGCTTGGAGTTTGTTCAAAGATGGAGCATCCGTTACTGTGTATACTTTTACGAGCGTGCTAGTATGACGTCAGGCCGCGCTAGGTGTCAGCTCGGCGAGCTTGGAAGCTAGCGAAAAGTAAACGCACCTAATCTGTATGTTGTTGATGTCGACTGACGTAGGCCATGTGTATGATTGGGTAAATCAAATTAGCAAGCAGTGACACTAGTGAGACTTTAAACTAATTTTTTCGCATTTTTTCGTTAAGGCATGAAATATTATTTTGTACCATAAATGGTACTGAAATATTATAATGTACTAAAAATCTAAGTGTACTTTCAATGAACTCGAAAAGGCAAAATATATCCGAAAAGTACAA